GCCATTAATATCAATCTCGAACAATTCAGAGTCCATAAAGAAGAAGAATTCTCAGGAAAACCTACAACACAACTATGGGGATGTGCCAGAAAAAGGAGTATGTAAATATCGTGCAAAGATTTCATAAACAAGGCTTCACATAGGCTTTCAAAAAGGCTCCATGGTATGTCAGCGAAGATACTCTCTGTAAAAATTTGGGAATAAAAAATGTCGACGAATAAATAGAAAAATTTGCAACAATACATAAAAAACCACCCCAACGAGCTGACTAAAAAGCTAGACGGAGCACCAAAAAGCAGAAGAAGGAATAAGCCGACTGATTTACAGAAGTATTATAATAAATTTTGAATAGTTCAAAATAAAATTTAACCCACACTCTATCAAATTTTCTGGTTGGCTCAATAGAGCCAGTTGTAAATATAATATAACAAAAAACAGAATATCTACTGTTACAACTAAAGTCGTTCCAACAATGTGCTAATGTTCGCTGTGAAACGAAAGATTTCGTTATCGATTCCGTACACGGCACGAATTCCGAATGAATTTCACGAATTTACGCCAAAACACGCCTACGAATCACGAATTTGCGTGATACAGACTGAATTGGAAACGATGGAAATGCAGATTGTAACGGAGATTCTACGTGGGTTCTCTTCCCGTTAAAAACTTGAACTCGTATCGTGCCACGGGTTTTTCGTTATCGCGCTGATCGGAATGCAAACGCGAGAGCGCAGCGAAATGTCTATCGTAACGCCACGATCGTTTGACGGATATAGACGAATTTATTAGAGGTGTATTGCTTTTCCATCGCAACGCTTTCGTGCTGTTCCGTTTTACGGGTCTTGGAAATAATGTAACGTATCTTGATTGTGTCTGGAAAATGAGAGAATGACATTGGAGTTGTAGGGGAAAACGAACTTGTCGAGTGAAACGAACGAATTAGCATTTGTGAAGGATATAGAAGTAGACATTAATAAAAAGGATTAAATGAAAAATGGACTTTTTCCATAGCGACACTTTGTTGTTCCTTTTCACAGGTCTTGGAAATGAAGAAACGTATTTTGACTGTGATTAGAAAATGAGAGAATGACATTGGAGTTGTAGGAGAAAACGAACTTGTCGGGTGAAACAGAGAAATTAGCATTTGTGAAGGATATAAAAGTAGACATTAATAAAAAGGAGTAAATGTGAACGATGCATTGCTTTGCTTTAACTAGACTTGCTTACTGTAATAATAAAATATTGAGATAGTATTATTAATACCCCGGATAATAAAGCGTTCTCTTATTGTATTCTTTAAGCATAGAAAAATAATTTTTTAGGTAAAATAATAACATGTTAAAATTATAATCATTGTTTCGAAGCAATTTAAATTTTTGCTAAACTCAGAATACACTTTACTGTTATTTCTTGTGTATACACTACCGGCCAAAAGTTTGGAATCACCTCCCACTTTTCATCAATATTAAATCTGCTGCTAATTTTTTATAGATTTCAAGTTTATCTCAATTCTACATTTATCAATTTATCTCGTATCAATTGATTCGAACGATAAAAAATTCTCAAAGTCGCTGACTTCTTTTCTGGAAATTTTTGTGTAAATTGCAATGCTCGGTGATTCCAAACTTTTTGGCCGGTAGTGTATGTATAGCACTTCTTTGTTTTTACTTAAAAATGAGTATTAAAATGTAGAATTGGACATTTCGATTATAAAATACTAACTGACAATTAAAATTGCAGTAAGTTTACATATTAATGACAAATAAAAATAAACATATGACGTTATTTTAGCATTAGATAACAGTGTAACGTAGCAACTGATACAAACCATAGAAGTGACAAGAAAATGCAAAAATTTGAATATATAAATGTACCATGTGATTCCATGTATCAAAGGAAACGTCAACTAGAAAATCTCATGAAAAATTCAAAGTATCGGCATACAAATATGTCACACATAACCGTGCATATGGAAGGAAATAAAAAAGCGACAGTACGCATACGCGGGACACAACGTTACACCGGTTTATCGATTGTTATACGTGCTTGGAGTGTGAAGGAGGGAGCCAAAGAAGGACGTAAAAGAAGGAAAATCTCGTAATAAAGCTGTTATACCTGTGTATTACACTTCGGTAAATACTTCAAAGCGTTCATTAATGAATCACGTTTACTCGGTGTCGTATTAGGTTTGTGTATATGAAACGGTGTTTTTTGAAACGAAACTTTAGATATAACGTGTTTCTTCACTCTTCAGCGGGCTACAGTTGCACACTGAACTTCTTCAGACATGTTTGTTTACATCGCGTACTTTATTCATGTTTCTTAACTTTTGTTTTGTTTCCTTGATTTAATGTTAATTGTAGTTCTTGTACGAGTATAATCTACCTATACGATTAAAGTTATATACCAGAAAATAGTTGTAACTTACTTAACCCTCTCATTAGACCCTCAGAGATTAATAATTAATAATTTGTACCGATTCCAAGTACTAACTTACCTTGCTTAAAAATTCGCCACTGTTATAAGATTGCGTTGCAAAATGAATACTCGGGGATTTGTTTAAAATAAAACTCTGCTGTAGTCACAGAAACGACGAATATTAACTAGCCGCTTCATTAACAAGTGGCAGTACCATACAGAGTCAAATCACGCGTTTTTTACTTTAAAAAATTAAAGTGGCCGGAATTACCCCAATCTCCCCTACAGTTCGCGCCTTTTTGGTGCACTTCTAGCCTAATTTAATCCTTAATTATATCGTATAAGTATTTCTACATTAATTTAATGAAACAAATTTTAAAACGATACAGCCAAGATAAAAGATTTTGCGGCTACGGTTGAACATCTATGTACTGTCTGTCACATGCGTTACGTACTAAAATCTGCCGTAGAAAAAGGGTGAAGTTACGATCGAAACATGATGTACAGATAGGCTACGTCTCTTTAACTTTCTACAAATGCTTTGTTGCCGTTTATACCGAGGCTGAATAATTAATATTGATAACTAAAATCAGATAACAGTTGATAATGTAGGTTAAGTAATGTATCTCCACAAATAATAATATGAGACAATTGTAATAGTGTAGGAATGTGTGGTCGCTAATGGAAAATAAGCCGATACGACACCAAATAAATAATTTAAAAAAAAGTATAAATGTTATCTCTTTATGCTATTTTTAATTCCAACCCGTGTAGCTCGGGAGATTAGACCAAACGGTCATTTCGTTTCTGAACTTTTGTCAGTAAGTGTTAGAAAAGAAACAAAAAGCTTGAAGTAATCTTTAAATCTCTTCGAAAAATTGTAAAAATCTTCTTTTTTCAATAATTTTGCAGTTAAGCGTTACAGTTTAGTTTAAGTGTCTTAAAATTGTTACACAATAAAAGAAAGAATTTCAAGAAGACAGTATAACACTTACGGTCTTTGAAACCGAGCGTTTCTGATAAATTTCATGAAAATAACTTTCACGTGACGAGCGACCGAGATCAGCTATCGCCTATTCTTTATTGCACGACTTTTTCCCCAGCGACCTAAGTAGCGTTAATTAGCATCGTTTTCATAATTGTAGCTCTTTCGATGATTTTATAACCTTCGATTATCGATGCGTTTTACTTTTTAGGTTAAACGACGATGGTAGATAGCGGTGCATAAAAAATGAAAATGTAACGATTTCATTGACACAGGCACAATGGAGGATTTCTCAGAACCGAGAACTTTCGTAACATCATTCTGGTTTCAGTTTCGTAATAAATCGCGTTGATGAAACGAGGAAACGAACAAGGAGTTGTTGATTGATCAAAGAAATCGTGCATAATTGTGTAATTGAGATAACGCCGAGTGAATAAAAGAGTAAAGTAACAACCTATTTTTCGAGGAACTTACAAAAACGTAAATTGTAAAAATAGAATTATTTTGTAACTTTCATGTTATCTTTCGTTCTAAAAAATTTAATTTGCCAAATTTTAACAATAAACCAAAATTAGACGTGTGAAATATGTTAACGTGGCATGAAAAATGAAAGGTGCTTTTTTATTTTCTTTATTCAAATAGCGTTCGAATTAAGACACGTTTGCATTGCAAATGGTCTCAAACACTTTCAATTAAAAGCAATCCTACTCCCTGCAATACTCTCCTTTTCTCTCTCTCTCTCTCCAAGTAAAACTTTGTACAAAGCAAAAATTACTCTGGCATTGCGAACTAATTTCGATAAGAATCATCTCGCCTCCGGTTATAGTATATTTTATCAGTTCATCTTCTCGTCCATGAGCATATATAAATAATGAAATTTTCTCTCTAACAGGCGGTCTAGTTTTAATTTGATCGTGTATGTAAGCTACAACTGCTTTTCCACAAGGCTATAAATAAATCTCGAACTCGCATCAACATTGTGGGGCACAGTTTTGCATGATGCTTCTCTTGCTTAGTAGCTCCTCTTAATTACTTTCAGACGATGGTGTATATTCATTAAGCCAGACTTTTCTAACGATTTGCCCGCTTTTCATAATCACCAGTAGAGCGTATTCATTGAAACAGAGAAGAAAAAAAAAAGACTGACTTACCAGGCGTGAGAGATATAGCCTGCTGCCTTCTCGATCTCGAATTGTCCCGTTTCCCCGCAGAAGACTGAGAGCCGGAGATCTGGAGTCCTGGAGCGCTGACCGCGCGCTTTGGCCCGCCAATTGCGCCAGGAACGTTGCTGTTCCTCGCGAAGCCAGGTGGACGGTATCTGGCCGACTTTACGTTAGAGTGTTGCGGTAAGAAGTGATAGACACTGTGTGCCTTGTGCATCGTCGACGAAGGCGTGGTTGACGTCGTTGTTAAGCCGGCTGGTGCCGTGGAAGCTGGTAAACGCGGCAGAGAATTGGTGGCCGCTGTGATGGCGGACTGCATTCCGCGTGGAAGGGTCGTCGCCCGAGATTCGCCGGTGTATTCGAGCTCGTCTTCAGTGTCCTCGTCACCTGCGGACGTGTCTATCGATGTATTAATCTGCGTTAGTGGGACTGTGATTCGCGGTGATGCTAGCGAGAAGATACCGAGAAACGGTAAGTTCTTTTGGTTTGATGAGCTTCGTAGCTGAGATAGTTATCGAAGCTATTTATATCACATTGGCGCTCTTCTACTTTTGCACGGTGGAGTGTTTTGTTTAACGAGCTGGGCAAAACTTGAATTTTTAAACTTAATCGACAGAATTACAGCGGATTGTGTGACAGTTGCACGCATAGCGGATGCTGGGTCAAATGTGACCCAATATTAAAATCTTTTTCTTGCGCTAGGAAACCACATTTTTTTGTTTTGCTAGGCATTGTATTGTTTAGAATCGTACAATTACATTATGATTAAAATAGAAAATGTATTGATAATATAAGGAGAGGAGAGTCGCAAGTCTGTTTTGAATGTAGGTTGAAAAGAGAGACATTTAAAAGCTGGGTCAGCAGTGATTATTTTTTTTGTTATTGTTAAAATATGATCGTTGTTGTTTTTCATTTTCTGTGAGCAAAATCTGTCTGCAACATAGTTGTTTAGAATCGTACAATTACATTATGATTAAAATAGAAAATGTATTGATAATATAAGGAGAGCAGAATCGTGAGTCTGTTTCGAATGTAGGTTGAAAAGAGAGACATTTAAAAGCTGGGTCAGCAGTGACTATTTTTTTTGTTATTGTTAAAATATGATCGTTGTTGTTTTTCATTTTCTGTGAACAAAATCTCTCTGCAACATAGCATTCCTATAATGTTATGTAAAAATTGTTTAAAAATTGGTGGTAAATTCATGTTTTCCTTACTTAGATATGTAACACTCAAATTGAGAGTTTCAATGTGAAAGTTGTATAATTAAAAATAAATCATGTACCTATATAAATGGTCTTATTTTTTAATATTTTATTCTCCTATGATTTTTCATATAAAATTCTACCAAATAATTACGTTTCGTCGTTTCCAAGTGCACTTGGAAATTTTCGCCAGTTTTTTCATACAAACACTCCACTATACGAGATAGGAACAAAACACCGGAACCGAGTAGAGAAGTAGAAACCTAATTTCAAACAAATTTCATCCCACACTTAGGATGAATTATTGCAGATTCATAATCCATTGAAGAAAGATCGAGAAACTTGCATTAAAAAGCAAACATTACTTTCTATTGCCTGTGTTTAGCTGATAAATGCTCGTGACGCACCGATGCGGCGCTCGTCCCGTATGGGTTAGGAGAACAACGATATTAGTTCACTTTTTGTTCAAACAATATTTATCCAAAGAAAAAGATCAAACCGTCCAGAATTCGGTATAATCGTTTTTTCCTCATAATTAAACATTTTAAAATTGTCTTTTCGTAAGTTCTATCCAGACGTATTAAGGGGGTTCACCGCAATATTTACTTTTTCAAAATTGGAAAAGAAAGCTGAAAGTTACATTTATATCCTCGGAAAAAAATGAAACTTTTCATTTAATAATTACCCATGAGAAAAATTCCCAAATTTTTACTTATTTTTAAAAGTCTGAACGTAGTGTGAACTACCTCCTTAAACTATAAAAAAAATATATAAAAAGGTAAAATTACCAGATTCCCCCCTGGTGTTAGCGTCGGGAACAGAAGACCTTCTCCTGTTGCTCCAGATTCTCTCCTCCACCGATCCGCCGCATCCACTAGCAGCACCTCCACTTCCACCACCAATGGATCCGCAACTTCTAACTCTATCTAACTGTTCTCTGGAAAAGCTCTTTGGATTGAACAACAGATCCCCAGCACTGCGGCGTTTAGCGGCCATAGCCAATGCGTTAGCACTAGCACTAGCACCAACACTATCCCCTGAACACGCTAAAAGGCTGAGTTTCGTCCTAGAATCCGCTGCCATTAACGCGGACTCGAAGCTTCCCCGCCAAGAGAACCTTTCGTAATCACTGGCTTCTCGTTCTTCACCTTCTTGGCCAGTGGAGGCTGCTGGATGGTTGTTGATGAGTAACAGAGGATCGTGAGATTTCGATCTGGGCAGTTGTAAGTGCGTCGACGAAGGCGCGTTGGTCGAATCGGAGGTAGAATCATCGTCTTCCGTGGTAGACGCTGATGATGGTGTTCTGTGATGTTGAGAGTAACGTCTCCAGCTGGTAGTGTGATGTTGAACAGCCGATCCACCTTCGGAAACTTCGTGCATCAGCGCTACAAGCCGGCTGCCGATATGGTGCATCACTTTTGCGATCAACGGTGGACTACTGTGCGGTGTCGAATTTGCGTCAGAGCTTACACCATCGCCGGCCATTTTTGTGAAACTCTGGACTAGCTTCTGGTACACGAAAGCGGTGTCTCTGCCCAGACACGGAGCCTGTATTCCAGTCGGTCCAGTTTTATCTTCCCTTTCCCTGTCCAACAGATTGTCACCCGACGTGGTGTCGAATTTACTGATTATCTGCTGGCAGCTCTGCGATATTTGCTCCTGCAGCGCTGATCGACGACCACCGGCTGCTCCCTCTAAATCCGAGCTAGTGTAATCTGAACTGTCGTACGAATCAGACCACGTGTCCTCAGAACTGAGATACTCGACAATCTCACGCACTTGTTCATCGCGAATTCCCGGCACCGTTTTCATCAGCCTGGTGAGCTCGTTCTCGAAGTATACCAACTGCGGCGGTTTTGTACGATTCTGTGGACATAGTCTGGCCTTAGATGTGTAACCGGGTAATCTAGGACTTGGTGCAGGCGATGCACCGCTCGAATTCGTGTTAATGGTATTCTGATTCTGTCCGTTCGAATTGGCGACCATCGTCTTGAAGAATTGCCGCATCTTCGACATCATCAGATTCGTTTCCTCGTCGCTGGACCAATTGTTGAAACTATCCTTCCTCGACAAAGAAGCATTCGCTAAGTGAGGCAGTGTAGTATGATTCAGTGGATGATCCACCTTAGGTATGCTACCCTTCTCGACCCCAAACATTCCTTTCGTAGAGGTCTGACTCGCGTTTTGATCGTTCTCGCTGTTCTCCTTGCTGGAACGATCCTTTGCAGTCTCTTGGTTAATTTCGGTACTAGATTGAGCATCATCAGGCAGTTTCTGGTGTTGGAGGAGATCATCACAGCTACCTACGAATCCCGAATCTCGAGATTGTTGTTTCGACCTGTGATTATAAGTCAAAGACTCTCCCGAGTTCATTTGCATATTCGTGGCGGAATCGATTAACGATGTAGACGTTGCGGAAATGTTCATAGTGATTGGAGGAGAGGAAGAAGAGAGTATACATTCTGGTTGAGGAGTCTTTGCCCTTTCCGAGTCTTCAGAATTCATCGCTTCTGCGTCGTTCTCCATTACCACTTCTCCCACCAAAATCATCTCTCTGCTTGGTTCCGGTGTTTTGTTTCTGTCCTCGGGAACACGTGGACTCTGCGTGCCCAGATTTCGAGGTTTCTTCTTTTTTCGTTTCACGGTGTCGAATTGGCCATCGGTTCCAAACGCGGCAGTTTGACCATCGTCTGCACCGTCGGTCTCAGTGGAGGAGCCTTCCGATTGAGTTTCCTGCGCATCCTGATTCAGACTCAGATCTTGAAGAGAATTTTGCAAGCTCAAGTTCTGCGAGCTTTGCGTAAGAGCTAACAAATTGTCTAAGGACGAACTGTGCGATCTACCGGTGCCTCTGGCACGGACCAGCTTCTTCTTTCTCTGCGCTTCAGGGCTGGGTCTCCCTTCGGAGTCACTGCCGACAGAACCATCCGAATCGCGTCTATCTTGATCGAAACCTAGAAACTCCGACAGGAAGTACTTCTCCAGTCTTGAAGAATTCAAAAATCCTTCCCCAGAGTTCGATCTCTCTTGGCTCTGTCCGTTACCCGGAGTTTCATCCTGTCCCAGCGATTCTAAACCTTCCGAATAAATGGACGAAGTTTCTGACAAGCTGTCCACCTCGCGTGAACCCATGCTCGAGTTGTTACCATCTCCCCCGAGACCGAAGAAGAAGTACTTTTCCAGTTCCGAAGCAGACGGAGGTCTCTGCTTCTTCGATGGGCTACCTGTGGCCAAACTAGGTTCCGCTTCGCTCTCCTCGCAGGATTCTTCCACGATGGTGTGCAAAGTGAAGTCGATAGCTTGTCTATGGTAACCGCGAAGTTCCTCCTCGCGGTCTCCAAGGTTATTCGCTTCATCCTCGGAGCTTTCCTCCGTGGCTGTCGTAGCGCCAGGCTCATCTTCGTCATGCGAAACTTCCTCCACCCATGAATCATCGTCGGCTAGACCTTCCTCTAGTATCACGACCACACCACTCGCTGAATTCTCGTCGCTGGACTGCGAGGAGACACGTGCTCGCGTGACTTCTCGAACCTCGTTACCCTGATAATCCTTCGGGACACTGTCGTCGTTGTTCTCCTGTCGACCAGTTAATTTCGCCGTATTTTTCACCGACACATCGTCGCTTTCACTAGCACTACCGATACTCAGTCCGCTGTCCACCTCTGTTTCGGAATGATTCGTCGTCGCACTGGCTAATCGCTTAACCATTAATGGCTTCCTCGGACCTTGACCATTTTTACGGTGCGGCTGCTCGGACACGGCTTCTAGCGCCAGCTGGAAGTACCCGGCCAGACCCTGGCTAGCCGTATGCACTTCATCCGGCTGCAACAAGGTCGTTGTGTCCGAGGTGATCACGCTCACTGGTTGGTACGAGGCTTCCTGAGTGATCATCACAAGGCTTCTGTACTTGTTGCTATTGTTGTTCCCGAGATTATTATTGTAAACCGTTGGGGGAAAGTGTTGAACGTCGTCTCTGATGGAATCCTTCGTCGACGCGGCAGGAGGGAATCCATTCTCCTTTCGAGTAGACGGGCGTCGCTCGACTGAACGAAACCGTGTCGAACCCCCTTCTATCCCCTCTACCGCGCAGCCTCCAGCGACGCCACTTCCACCGTCGGTGCCACTTCCACCTTCACCACCTCCACCGTAATACTCTCCTACCACCTGACCAGAAGGAGGACTCTCGCCTCTCACCGTACACAGGCCACTGTCATGCGCACTCTCCGTTTTACCTGCGCTCTCCGCGCTCTTGAACATCTCTTGAATCTTGTTGGTTATTATGTCGCCCACGTCGCAGCCCGCTGATTTCAATTCAATTCCACCGACGTGATTCCCCGATGTTGGGTCGTTGTCTTCCGCGCCATCTTTCGCCTTCGTTGTCGCCGATTTTCCAGCCTGGCACGTAACGGATTGATCATCCTCCGTGGTGGTGATCAGCATTGAATCACTCTCGGTGCATACGCTTGCAACACCATCATTGTTTGTGTTATCCGCTGATTGGTCAATAGTTGCTTTCTCGTACTGTGTGTGCCATTTCGTTCTGTTCGACGCGGTAACGATAGATTCGTTGTAATAATCGTTGTCCTTGAAGCTTTCCGCAACATTGTCGCGACGATTCGACTGCCTCGGCGTTCTTTCCTCGTTCCTCTTGTTCAGCTTCGACAACAGTTCGCTGTTGTTCAACGTGGAAAACGAAAACTCGTTCTCGTAATGCGAAGAGACGTTCGCTGACGTCACTTCGTACTCGTGAAGCTCGTCACTGCTCACTTCGCTACCTGTCGCATTCGTTTCGTTGCTCGTGAAACTGTCGGAGCCCGAAGACACATTCGCAGTGACGTTCAGATTCGAATTTAAATCCGTCGATATGTCATGCTCGTCGTTATCGTTACCGTGATCTACGCTCTCGTTGCTCATTATCTGAGGCAAAGTAATCGAGTTGTCGATCCCATTGTCGCAATAATCGTTTTCTCCAATTTCCTCGCAATCAGTACCGTTCTCGTTTCTACGGTTTATCAATGGCGTTGAAACGCGAAATTCGAAGCTTTCCGCGTTACTCTCGGCGTTTAAACTGTGGCTACTTAATATCTGCTGCCCGGAAATCTCTAAGGAGTCTGGAATTATATTCGAGTCCCATGCATCCGTCGATAATAGCTGCGTTTGATTGTCTAAATTTGTATCTTCGTTGTTAGACGTTATTTGGCTTAATAATTCACGTTCTTCAACTCTTGACCTGTCGTTTTCAATCTTCTCGAATAATCTCTTCTCGAACGTAGTTTCTATTTGCTCCGTGTCAGTATCAATAGTATTATTAACGATGACCGGCTCAATGCTGTCAGGATCCAAGGTTTTGATAGACTTCAACTCGACCTGATGTTCAGAACAATCGTTGTCGCTTGCAATATACATTTCCTCAGGCATCTCACGTTGTTGCAGCGACAGAGAAATCCTCTTATCGCTACTCGTTTCCGAGCTGTTCCTCTTTCCACGAGTCTTCCGCTTTTCGTTAACATTTCCGATTCGGTCCGACATCGATTTATCGCTATCCTCCGAACCGTCTTCCTTACAACTCGATCTCATCTTCTCCTCCTCCTCCGAATTTCCTTTGCTGATCCCTCTCCCCTCCGTTCGATCTCTATTCACATCCTCGAAATTCGAATCCTCGTTGAGAAATCGAACGTACTGCAAAACCACCGGCTCTCCATCCGGAAGGGCCGTCACCCTCTTCAAAGTAACGCTATCCTCTGCAGCAGAATCGGAGTCTTCATCCTCGTCCCCATTATCTTCGATATCGTTATCGCTCGTGAGAGAATCATCGTTAACGACAAACACTCTCGAGAATCTATGAGAGGAGGAATCTTCCTCTAGATCAGAACTGTCTGCAGATGAGCGACCGGAGGAGCTGCCAGAATCCTCGTGCTGGTACATTCTCTGTCCTCTTCTGCTTTCGAAGGACACGCTCACGGAATCTTGGCAGTCCGTTTCCTCGCTTTCCTTTGTCTCGTTCGTCTCGTCATAGTTTTCTTGGCTCTGCACGTCCTTCGACTCGTCCAATTGCTCCCGTACATTCGTCGAGGATTGTTCCACGATTTTCGACTCGTTCGAGATGTCCAACACAGCTCCGTCCTGAAACGCCTCCACGGATTTCGATACGACGTTCACTCCCGCGTCGTCGTTCTCATCTTGATTGATCTGCAAGCTGTTTAATCTTTGATGAAGCTCCTCTGTCGATGGAATAGACGACGTCTCGATAGTTGACCTGTACAACGGAGGCGCCAGTACTTGATCGGGCCTGAAAGTGCACGTTGTCGGGTCGAAGACACCGGTTAAACGTGGATCGAGCCTGGTCCCGTGAAGAGGCTGATTGAATCGTGGATGCCAAGCGAACCAGGGTGCAGCTGGGTCGCCTCTTAACCGCAGTGTTCCTGGTTCAGCATGAGCATCGCTGCTCCGGCTTATCATCGATGATGCAGCGGCCGCGAAATCGCTGGTCCAGAGAGCTGCTGGGACGGGTACTGGATACGGGACCGGTACCGGGATTGGTACTGGCACTGGCAGCACGTTCGCTCCGCGAGAACCTCCGCAAGCCTGTGTAAAAAAATTGTGAAAATTTGGGTATTAATATATGAAACTGATATAACAATAATGTTAGGTGGTTGGGAAAATTCGTAGCGAAATATAGGAAAAATTGAAATCATCGTATCTCTGTTTCTAATTGAGATAGCGGCAAAAATCAAAAGGTATTTTACTCGTTATTTGAAGATAAATCCGACGTACTTCTCAAATTACTCCAAAGGCGAACTATATTTTCTGCGGTTATTTTCTCGAAAAATTCAACATCCACGCTCCACTGCAGAAGACAATTCGACTTATATCCACTCCTGTTCATCTTACGAGTAATTGAGTAGTAGTGCATTGGATTCATCTTTGACTGTCGAGGAAAATACCGTTTAACATTTATCGCTATGTCAATTAGAAACAGAGATACAATGGTTTAAATTTCGCCATAAACTCTCCGAACAACCCAATAGAATAAACTTTTTTTTACGAAAGATAGAATAACCGCAAACTATGGTCGCTAATAACGAAGTTGTTTTTGCGACCTTAAATTATATTTAAAGAAAATTGATTTTGAAAATGGTAAAAAATATATGAAACTGATATAATTTTATGACGCCTAACTATCAGTACCTTTTTAATTATTTTCATTATCATAATTTGATCGGTTATTTTGTTACAAAGGAATGCTTCTGTAATGTTTTTAAAAGAAGAAATGCCTCTAAACAATAAATTTATAATAATGTTATAAAAATGTGCAAATTAATTTAGAATTATTTTAACAGAATAACATAGGAATTTAGTATAATGTTAAACAAAAAATGGAATGTCAAATAAAATTTTATAGAGTACTTTGACTCGACTTTGACTTTTATTGAATATTCCCTTGCAATCAACATTACTATCTTGAATTTCCAATGATCCAATGTTACGATCTATTTTTAAATTAATCCCTTATCGAATTTTGTGAAACTCAATTTCTACTTGTACAAGTTATCTAAGTATCTCTATCTAGTAAGTATATAATTACTTAAATAACGAAAAATGTTCAATGGAGATACTAACGATCTGAAGAAGTAGCGTGTCAACACAGATTATAGTGACTGACGAGATACAGACTGTGGGTTCTGATTATTGCACAATGGATTAATATTGGATATCAACGAGAGATAGCAAAGAAGAAGAAAACGCCAACGAAACACGGACAATGTATCTACGTTATATAAACTTATTTCTATTTTCAAACATAGACGTGAAAAAGTATGTAACATTTCATCTCATTAAAAAAAAAAGATAAATTAAAGTTAAGACAATTTTGTAGTAAATAGAAATATAATTACATATTATTAAAAGAAAATAAGAATTATGAAGTATAGTTACAATACGGAAAAAAATCAAGGAATTTATTTCGAAGTTAATTGAAAAATTTCATTTGAAGTTATTAATTACAATAGAAACATTAATAATGTTTTTCAAAGTATACAGTTCATTGTATGCATTCAAATTAAATATAAGTATTAAAAATACATACTTCACTTTGTACCGTAACTACAAGTATGGTTCATTAAAAATGATACACAATTTTAATGAGGCCTGCTATTCTCAGTAGTCCATAATAGTATACCGTTGTTAAACGCTTATAAATCACGTATAAGTTCGAAAATGTACACAGAATTGTTAGTTCCGAAAAGTAATTACTAAGTTCGGAAAAGTATAAAATGTGATATTAATATGCGACGTGAATAGCTACTAGACCGTATAAAATGATATAAGTAATTTATAAGTTGAAGTTTATAGTGAGAAACGTCTTATACTAAATGTTCAAATCAATTTTCGAGAAAATACACGGAGAATTTTTTCGAATAACACCTAAGTAAGTTAATCACATTATTTGACACATTTCAATCGTGCATTTGTGAATTTATATTTGTAACTAACTATAAATGTACAAGCTTCTAATTTGAGAATTGTTCAATATGTGTATACAGGGGTACACTATAGAAATATATTCCAGAAGCATGGCCGGGTCAAAAGTGACCCATTAGCAATTTTCCAAAATGAGCGAATATTCGATACTGGTAAGTGAAAAAAGAAAAGGTAATCGTTTGTAATTTTCCAACTTTGTTTCCAGCTAATTTTTTAATCACGTTTTAGTTACATAAAAATTCACTTTTGGAAGGTTGCTAATGAGTCATTTTGACCAGAACGGTCTTTCTAGTGCAAAAATGAAGAAAGATGTATCCAGAATTTTTCTTTTTCGCGATCTATCTTTTTTGTTTAAGATAACTTTCACCAAGAACGCCTATCGAGTACAGTAGTCCAAGTGCAATCATCATTTCCCTCCTAACAGAAATATGTAAATACTAATAGCGATCCCACTTAGCATTAAAGCATAAATGCACATTCTTCCCCTCATTAAAATTCTTTGCATATTTTTCTATCGAGATATTTCAAAACTCTCGTTTACTATGTTCCTATTACTCTTGTTGAAAAATTATTCAAAGCTATATTGTTATATACTTCATGCGATAAAATTCACAACTCCCGAGAAATTTTTTTTTTTCTTGTAAAATTTCTACTTTTGAGCATACAAACGAACACATTGTATTATGCATGTTCTGAAGCAGAGCTGCTCAGCAAGTTGCCCGTAGGGCAGCGGTCAGACTAAACTCTGTCCAATATTAAAGTAACCTCGCTCGCGGACCGATTTTCGACCGTTCTGCGCAACTCCCACTATTGCCTACCATGCGATTTAGCTTGCGCACACAGCGATATTCGGACATTAAGCCACGCCTCCTCTACAATCGATGGAAGTGATACAGTGAGGTCGTAAATTAAAGCATCAAGACGGTACACCTGTCAGATGGTTTCACAAAATCGCTTTTTTTGGGAATTTTTTATAGGTAATTACTAAGTGAAACGTTTCAATTATTTTTGCTGCACTTTTTCCTTTATTTTCCAATTTTTTAAAATCAAAAATGCTTCAAAATGGCGGAATTATTTGTTAATTCTGAAGCCGGGTGTGTTGGGACATTGATAGTTGGCTGCCATCGCTATCAAGGACTAGAATGCCCAAATAAAAAAATATATAACTGTTTATAATTTTGGGTGATTTTGTACGTATAATAAGAAAAACTGAAAAAGAAAAACAAGAAACTTCTAATAAACCAATACAATAAATAATGAATGTAAAGCATAAACTGAATTTCAAAAACTGAATGTCATAAAAGTTACGTTTCTATCGAACGAAATATTAAGCAGGTGAAATTTTAAGACTGTATGCAACAAACGCAATATTACGGAGGTGGCTGTTAAGAGGTTAAACAGCGACACTGACTAATGTAGCCGCATCCAAGACCCTCAATCATTTGTAAACTGATATTTAAAATTTCTGCCTACAATCTTTCACTTAAGATATACGATATTAAGCCTCTGTCACCTCCTGCTAAAGAATATTTCTCGTATTGGTAAAAATGAACCTATAAGTGTGAACAATTAAGGCGCAGACAAATTTTTTAAACATACTACAATGGAGGAACCAATTCCGAGTTAACATCGAACGGCCCTGAGCAAGGCTCGACGAGCTCCTTATCTCCCTCGAATCGCTGTTTTCGCGTATATTTTGACGCTCGACTGATTTCACCACCTCCCTATATCGCTTCCACCGACTATACAAACAGATCGTTTCCACTAGTTCTTTCAGCGAAGTCGGAAAACCAAAAATATTTATATCTCAGAAAAAAGAATTTTTCGACTCTTCTTTCCTCATTCTTAAGGTGAATAGAATACGTTTCCAAAGTTTATCCATTTATTTCTGTTTCACCCTGTATACACACTGGCGCTTATAAGTATTTGCTCGTCTACTTTTTCGTCTTTATTCGAAGATGTGATAAATTTTTCGGGAGAACTGTATTTTTGTAAATAAGGGTTACAAAACAAGTTAAATCCTAGACTTCTTTCTTGGAAACTTGTAAACGTGATTGATTCCCTGAACTCTTAAACTACAATTATCAGATATCTATCATTAATGGGTAAACGTAGCTGAAGTGATAGTACGAATGAAAAAAACAGAATGTTGATAAGTATATTTTATAAAATATCTCTTGCAACATGTTACTTATTCGATTTCCACGGAAGAACTACATTTAGCTAAGATTATTTATGCTTGTTAGTTTTATAGAACATGGTATACTATTTAAGAAAAAGCAATTCAGTCTTGAAAACACTGGGCTAAAAAATAGTGTTAATCACCTACTAATAAAATACTCGTTACACTTATACAAACAGAAGTTATAACCAAAAATTAATAAAATAAGCGCATAAGTAGATATGTACTCGAAAAATATTTTTCTTTTCTTTGAACTCAAGCCTTATTAAAAACAAAAAAACTAGGACATTTACAACAAAACTCTTTACAAAAGTCCACATCTAACTTGAAAATCTTCACATTTCCAACCTCGTGCAATTTCTATCACACAATCTACCTGACAGAAACTCAACAGTTCCATCAAAAACAAAACTACATTTACCACAAAAATGCGCATCTAACTTGAAAATCTTCACATTTCCAACCTCGTACAATTTCTACCACACAACCTACCTGACAAGCAGTGGAACCACGTCCAGGACAGCAGCTCCAGTCTTGTCCGCCGCTGGTGTCCGTCCCCACGTTGTTCGTGCCAATGGTAACTGGCACGCCGATTGGCAGTGGCAAGGATCCACTTTCGAAGTAATCCCAGTCGCAGTCCTCCAGGGACTGTGTATGGCTGCCGGCACGTGGCAGCCCGTTCAGGTATGAGGAACTGGAACAACTGCTATCAGCGTCGTCCTCCTCGCGGCCGGAAGATGAGTCCGAGCTGATGAACACCAGCCGCCTGTAATCGACCAACGGCTGATCCTGCGCCTGATTTCCGGTCGGACTATGCTGCCTTCCGTCACGACCGATCACGTGTAAAGTCTGGAAACCCTGTAGCTCCTCGGCGCAGCAGGTCCTCGCGTGAGATCGCCCTCTTCGTCGGGAACCTTTCGAAAATACAGCGGTTTGCGTACGATTAGAAAGCAGGTTTTGCTTGGTATTCGATAAAATCGAAACTGAAGAAGAGAGAGAGAGAGAGAGAGAGAAAAAGTGGCCCGATAACGCGACTTATCGCCTGTTGTTAGCGACAATTATCGCTATTGATTTCGATGTTATCGTCACGTACTACTGTTACAAATCGATCGACTTCGACGTGTTTCAGCGAACAGAACTCTAGGAAAATTTGCTCTTAATCGAATTTCAAGAAGAGCACATTAATCCTTTCGATACGGAGAAAGTGGGCAATCGCATGGAAAAGTGCATGCATCTGATCGTTTACGTTATCGTTTATGCATATCGTATATGTTGATTGGCAGCTTTTTCCTAGAAATTTGCACTGCTATTTTTAGTGGAGATTCTCTGCAGTAATAATCAATTTATTTTTTTATGTGTATTTAACGTAAGCTTCTTTCCTTAGGATATTGCGTATGCGCCATTTTTTGTAGATAATAAACGCGCATATCTGTTATACTTAATTACACTTGTTATATCATTTTTTTTTTTTTGTACAAATTCGTATAACATATTACGTCACAAATGTTCTTCAAATTTATGCGTTTGCAATAAGGAGTTCAATAATAAAATTTTTGTAAAACAAAGTGATTATTACAAAACATTCCATATGTATTTAAAATTTTATTATTAAAATAAGTACATTAACTAGCGCGAATATATCTGAGATATCATGAAACAGCTACGTGCTTTCCAAAGGACCTAATAATTATACTCAATATTTAAGTTTTCACACTTGTAATTATCTCGTATTAATCAAAATCGTTCCATTATGTACGTCGTTAGATTGCACAATAAAAGAGTGAATACAGAAAAAAAACATATTCTTCGTCAAATATTTTTGGCTTCGAGAATAGTGAAAGGGTTAAGATTTGACGAGTATGTTCATTTCGATACGACAGAAAGCTCGTATTTGTAATACGTATTATTAGACGATGCTTGGATAAGCCAGTTCAATTAATACAATTATTTTCGAGGTCTTTGTTCTTCATTATCTGTCCGTGAGTAAAGCGTTGATTACTAGGTAGAAATAATTAATCCGTTCATATTGAATCAGTGGGAGATACATCGACAAATTACGAGCCTAAACAAATATTTCGCAAAGGTAATGAACGTGTTTATTCTTGGCCACTAATGAACCACGGACGAATTCCGCTTGTTAACGATTAAAGCTTGATGGGCACGACAGAATGATCTTCAGGGACTATCCTATCGAACATGTTGACGATTACACGAGGTGAAAAGGGGATTTAAAGGTAAATTAATCGATCGATTAAAAATCGAATTTCCCTTCGTTGCCGATTTAAGCAATATTTGCATTATATACATATGTAATTCGTATAATTTGCATTATACGTGTAATTTCTATACTCGACAATAATTGTAATAATATTTATAAACAATACACTGTAATTATAATATTATATTTGCGTTATACATGTAATTATAATATTACAACTCTAGTGTATTGTTTATAAATATTATTACAATTATTGTCGAGTATAGAAATTCACATTTAGCAAAAGAGATTGCAAATTTTTGAATATGACAGAAATTTTTCCAATGATTTTCCATGAAATTTTCAAAAATTTTAGCAATTCACGCGTTATGATCTTGACAATAGACAACTACCGTACCTGGATGAATCCTACAAATATACAGGATGAGTCAATAAGAACTACTATTTAAAATAATTCGTTTAGCTATTGGTTGTATCAAGAAACGTTTTAAATGAATTATGTGGCAATTTAAAGGATTCATCGTATAGATGCAATTTGATTTTTTCATATCTTACATGTTCTGAGATATCAAGGCGATCTAGTGAGTTTTTTCAAGGTTAATGTATCTTTTTGTTAATGCTACGTTGTCAGGTAACCTTGGTATCTCAGGAAATGTAAGATTAAAATGTAACATGATTTATTTAAAACGTTTTCGGGTACAACCAATAGGTAACGAGTTATTTTAGACAATAGTCCTTATTCACTTACCCTGTACAACTATTCGAACACCTGTCTACCTGACCGCTGACAAATAGACAAACTTTCTATTTGAAACACCCAGAATTTGAATCATTAGGAATGACATGCTTCCCACCTACATTATCATTCATAAGTATTAGGACACTTATTGAACGTAAAAGAAACCTAAACGGTCATTAAAAAATTATTAAAATCAAGAAAAAATAATTCAGTCTGAAAAAGTACTATAAAACTTTTAAATATTCATTTCCGTTTAAGATGCCGTCATAAAAATAAGATCCCAACAGTGCGTCATCGATTATGCCACACCAAACATTGACACGATATTGAGTTTGTTGTTGGTCGTCGAACTGGTCTCAGCAACAGCTTTTGTATAATATGAAAAAAGTTAGAACTATCAATTTAAAAAAAATTCGTAATATCATCATTACCGGAAAATCATTGTAAATTAGAAAATCAATTCAAGCTGTCGTATTGCGTATAAAAAATAATGAAGCTTTATCCTCTTCTATTTTAGGTTAGGAAATTAATAACGCGAACACCATGTATATTTTTAACTGCACTTTTTGAACTTTTTTAAATTTTACTGCCGAAGCACTTGATTGATGCTTGTCTTTTTATATTTAAAATAAATTTCCTTAATAATTAGGCTTAACACCGTTGAATGACAAAAATTTGTACGACCGTTGAATAATAAATAATTTATTTCAGACAATAATATGATTCACTCTAATGTAAATCATTCTAATAATGTAATTCAAACGGTTATAAGAAGATATAATTTCATCAATTTTCTTTACTTTTTGTTTTGTAGTCATATGATACTAACTTCGGCGAAGAAATCTAATTTAAATCATACAATACTTTCTATACGAACATAATAAGTGTCCTGATATATATTTATCAACAGTAGCATATCGCTTTTCCCATTTTCCAAGGAACAACAATGATCTCTCTTCGTTGATCGTCACGAACTTTGCATAATCCACGTAACGCTCGCAAAGGCGTAACCAGCGAACGCGTGCCTTTTTTTTCCACGATTTTTCGTGACAGATAAGGACGGTATCGCCGAGGTGACGAGACATGGAACAACAGGAAGAGTTAAAATCCCAGCATGGCTAGCACACTCTGCGCCCGCTTTTTACGCGCTGATGAATTACCTGGTCAATGGCACGGGCCAGCATTTGTCCACGTGTGTATGATTTTCTATGTTTGCGATCAGGTTTCACGAAGTGGTCGCGTTCAAATTTCAACGTTCACGAACTGCCGCAGTGGAACACAAGAGAAACGAGAAAGAATGGAGGGACGAGCCTCGAATATTAATCGATAGAAGATAGGTTAAAAGAAAGACCGTTTGGACTTTAAACAGCAGCAAGTAGGTAACAGAGAAAATCGGGCTGGTTACTCGCTGACACCGATACAGAAACTCTACTTCTACGACATTTCTATAGCGCGAAATGTAAATGACCGTTTAAGGTATTCGCGCGAATCGCGAGCTAAATTTAGCATTGCACCTTGTTGCCGAATCGTCGACACGTTTACACTGTTCGAAAACAACGCTGTTATAGGTTATAGACACTTAGTAGACCGATAGAGAACACTCGATGCAATTAGAAGACGTTCAATGCCGCTTGGCGCGATTTATTTCCTTTCTGGTTCGTCATAATAACGCGCTGAAAATAGCCTACTTTTGTGGGACAAAGAACGGCCGGGTGATATTATTTCTCTGCGCGCTCGTTTATATGTTACAATTAATTTCCTCTATCCCCGCATTCAATTTTTCCCGCTCGAAACCATGCTACGACGTTAACTAACAATCTTCGGAAAAATTTAAAAAAGAAAAAAACATCGAACTGCACTCGAACTGTCGACGACTCCCAGCGGCGTTGATTGTTTATTTAACTTTATGGGTTAGGATCGTGCGAATGTTTCGTTTTAACCGTTTCCACGGCAAAGAAAGTTCTTTACAATACCTTACTTTCCATCTATCAAATTTATCCATCGAAGGAATTGCCTATAGACCCTTAAAAGTAATATCCAAACTGGTGTTTTGAAAGTTCGCGAAACGAAAACTCTGGTATATAACCTCAAAACAAAAGCAGCTTTAAGGAAACATGACACTGTAAACGTCGTGGCCAAGGGTATCGAATTTAACACTCCACGTGAACCCTACATACACACCGTGGTCAAAATACTTTGAGAACCCACAGAAAAATGATATTTATCACGATATATTGTATAACTTGTGCTCATCGTAACAAAACAAGTCGCAAAATCACACGGCACCAGTGTCACTGTTTACAATCCTACGGACGCTAATTCCTGTCAAAAGGGACACAGAGTGAAAGAGACAGAGAAGACTGTCTTTCTCTCTCTTGGTCGATCGTTTCCCTTTCAACGAGCGGTGCCGATCCCGTGTCGCACCTGCGTCACACCAGGTTCACGAACTTTTGTCACAGAACGGCTTGGAAAGTTCGCAAGGGCCGCGGCCAGTGTAGCGCGACGGAAATCGCCACGGACTCGCCGGCTTTCGTCATCGTTCTCAAAGGCGAGGTAAACGACACAGTGTCAAAGGTAGCACTGGCGATTCGCGTGGGCTACCGCCGCTAAACTGAGAGCGTCTGTGCCGTGAGGCACACCTGAATCCCACAGCATCGGTCACTTACTACGGCACGGAACAGCTTCTATAGTGGCGTCGCTATAGTGTATATTATGACGTGTACATCGGGTGGCGCGAACAAACGGTCAACCTGCCGCCCGACCGTGGCGTCCGTGAAACGCGACGATAACAATGCCTACGGCTGACAGGCGCGATTAATGCGAACTGCCTTTATCTTGTCTACCTTGACGCGACCGAATTGGTGGTAAATAAACCGAGTAACGAAGGAAAAAGAAAAAAAATCGTCTCGCTGATCGAGTTTTAATTTTCTACAACGACCAATGGACGAACGATTCGA